TGACTGTTACATGATGAATGTCATCCAACACAAATATCCATCACTGATCCAATGCCTACGCTTTTCTCATATTTATCTTTGTTAAGTTATTGTTGTTGTTGTTGTTACAGTCATCACAATTTGCTACTATTATTGTTCATGTTACTATTGCTACTGCTACCGCCACTATCAAAACTATCATACTACTGTGCTACTAAACACTTTGATGTAGAAATATAATTTCCCATGTGTGGTTGAATTGACAACTCAACTGCTAAGGCTCATAAATATTCTTTGGCTCCCCTTGTGTCGAATCAATAAATTTGGGTGAAATACTACCCTCGAGTACTGCCACGATCCCTGTACTTGTGGGTCATCACCTCTCTCTTTTTCCTCAAAAGGGAGCAAGAATCATTGGACGGATTGAGGATAACAAGCTCAAAGAAGGTCAACAATGGGGGGCAAATACGAGCTCAAACAATAAGGTCCATTTGGGAAGAAGACCCCCTTTTATAGCCCCCCTCCAATCCAACCGTTATGTGCACTAGACGCACAAAAGCGGTACTACCGCCCGGGCGGAAGTTCCTGGAGTATGGTGCAATGGCGAAGCACCCCGCCCCAGCGGTACTACCGCTGGGGTTGCAGTATACAGGGAGAAGCGGAGGTAGGGCAGAGTATGGCGGAAGTACGCTTATAAATGGTACTACCACGCCTTACTACCGCCCTACAACCGCAAAGAGGCAAACGAGTCCATAGGCTACGAAAAAAGTGGAAGTAGCAGTGGAAGTAGCTTGTCGGTAGTACTGCTTATAAGCGGTACTACCGTGCCCTATTGTCGCCGAAGAGAAAATGAGTCCAGTAGCCCAAAAACAAGCGGCAGTGCCCGCGACACTGGACAATGGAAGTACCGCACAAGCGATGCTACTCTTGCCTACGGCAGTACTACCGCTAGTGAGCTTCAAAATGGCCCAAGCAAAACAGATGGAGCAAGAAGACCAGAACTGCCATAACTTCTGCAAATGAACTCCGAGTACAACAAACTCAAGCTTGTTGGATAGATGACGACAATTACTATCCAACAGCGACCGACATAAACTCCATCAGTGAAGAATTGACATAAACTCCATCATCGAGAACATCATATAAGATGCATATGAACTCCGCTTTTTATGAACTTGAGCCTGACATGAAGATGATCATACGCTCTAAAGCTCACAAAGAGAAACACCAAACAAGAACCAAGAAAGATGATGAAAGGATGCAATGGGTTTGAGCTCTCTATGAATGATACGATCAAGCTACTCACTCAAGAGCCCCCCTTGATAGTACGACTATCGATCCTATCACCTGGTCTCCCAACTAACACCATGAGACCAGTAAAATAGAAAACCTATCAAGGACAAACCTTTGCCTTGCGCATAATCCACTTTAGCTAGATGATGATGATTTTGACCTCCTCAAGTTGGACCACCTTTCTTGATAGCGCCGGCTCGATGAAAACTAGTAGATTGCTCCCCTATACTCCACTATGGGTGAACCACTCTTCGGCACATTTTCACATGTCCATTGTCACCACAATGGACGACAAGCTTCAAGCATTATCTCTTCGTGATGCTTCACTTGAACTTGCACAATACGATACGTAACCCCACATGGAACCACCACACAAATGAACCATGGTGAAAGATCGAGGATGTCGCCTAGAGGGGGGGTGAATAGGCGCTTTAAAATAATTACGGTTTAGGCTTGAACAAATGCGGAATAAACCTAACGGTTAATTTGTCAAGCACAAAACCTACAACAACTAGGCTCACCTATGTGCACCAACAACTTATGCTAAGCAAGATAAGCAACTATGTGATAGCAAGATATATGACAAAGAACAATATGGCTATCACAAAGTAAAGTGCATAAGTAAAAGGGCTCGGGTAAGAGATAACCGAGGCACGCAGAGACGACGATGTATCCCGAAGTTCACACCCTTGCGGATGCTAATCTCCGTTTGGAGCGGTGTGGAGGCACAATGCTCCCCAAGAAGCCACTAGGGCCACCGTAATCTCCTCACGCCCTCGCACAATGCAAGATGTCGTGATTCCACTAAGGGACCCTTGAGGGCGGTCACCGAACCCGTACAAATGGCGACCCTTGGGGGCGGTCACCGAACCCGTACACTTTGGCAACCCTTGGGGGCGGTCACCGGTACCCTTCAAATTGCTCGGGGCGATCTCCACAACCTAATTGGAGACCCCGACACTTGCCCGGAGCTTTACACCACAATGATTGAGCTCCGAACACCACCAACCGTCTAGGGCACCAAGGCACCCAAGAGGAACAAGCTCTAGGGTGCCCAAACACCCAAGAGTAATAAGCTTCTCAACTTGTAACTTCCACGTATCACGTGGAGAACTCAAACCGATGCACCAAATGCAATGGCAAGGGCACACGGAGTGCCCAAGTCCTTCTCTCTCAAATCCCACCGAAGCAACTAATGCTAGGGAGGAAAAAGAGAGGAAGAACAAGAAGGAGAACACCAAGAACTCCAAGATCAAGATCCAAGGGGTTCCCCTCACATAGAGGAGAAAGTGATTGGTGGAAATGTGGATCTAGATCTCCTCTCTCTTTTCCCTCAAAAACTAGCAAGAATCCATGGAGGGATTGAGAGTTAGCAAGCTCGAAGAAGGTCAACAATGGGGGGAGAACACGAGCTTAAAGGATAATGTTCATTGGGGAAGAAGACCCCCTTTTATAGGAGGGGAAAAATCCAAACGTTACCCCCCTACCAGTCCCGTAGAGAGCGGTACTACCGCTAGGCCAGTGGTACTACCGCTTAACAGCCTAAGCGGTACTACCGCTCCTCCTCGCGGTACTACCGCTCCGGAGCGGTACTACCGCCACTCCTGCCGCAGCTGGTACCGGAAAGTCCGACACGAAAAACGAGCCCTCGAATCGAGGCGGCACTAGCACGAAACCGCAACGGTACTACGGCTCGGGCTACAAGCGGTACTACCGCTGTGGAGCGGTACTACCGCTTGTAGCACCCAAGCGGTACTACCGCTCCGGCCAGCGGTACTACCGCTCAGACCAGAGCAGGGAGAAAAACAGAAAAGCCATAACTTCTTCATATGAGCTCCGAATTGAGCAAACTCAAGCTTGTTGGATACAAGGCAACGAGTAGCATCAAAGAATAGGCAGGGGAGGTATGCCTAACAAACAAAGGAGTGAAACCTCCAACAGAGAAGAACCGGCATACCCTCCAACATCGAAAACATCATAGAAGATGCAAGTGAACTCCGTTTTCGATGAACTCGAGCTTGTCATAAAAATTACCATAAGCTCCAAATCTCACAAGGAGAAGAACCAAACAAGAACCAATAAAGATGATGCAAGGATGCAATGGTTTGAGCTCTCTACGAACGATACGATCAAGCAACTCATCGAGAGCCCCCCTTGATAGTACGGCAATCGATCCTATAACCCGGTCTCCCACAACTACCGTGAGACTGGTAAAATAGAAAACCTATCAAGGGCAAACATTTGCCTTGCACATGATCCACTTGAGCTAGATGGTGACGATCTTCTCCTCCTCAAGATGGACCACCTTTCTTGATTGCGTTGGCTCGATGAAGACTAGTAGATTGCTCCCCCATACTCCACTATGGGTGAGCCACTCTTCTGCACATCTTTACAAGTCCATTGTCGCCACAATGGACGGCAAGCTTCAAGCATATGATCTCTTCGTGATGATCCTACTTGAACTTGCACACTGCAACCTAACCCCACAAAGAACTCTCACGAAGACCATGGGTTAGTACACAAAGCGTAATTGACCATGCTTACCATACCATGGGATCGCTTGATCCCTCTCGGTACATCTTCTATGCTTTGTGTATTGATCAACTTGATTCATTCTTTGACTTAGTCTTGATCAAGCTTGAATCTTTCCAACTCTCTTCATTTGGATGATGTCTTGAAGGTAAACATGAATGATCACACACTCTTTTTCTTCAAGACATGCTTGCTACAAGCTCAATACTCATAAGACCAATCTTTGAATAATTCCTTAATAGCACCTTGGTCATCACAAACTCTCCTTGAAACCAACAAATGGACTCCAAGAAAAGCCTATGGACAAACCCTTCAAATATAACTCAAGGCAACCATTAGTCCATAGATATTGTCATCAATTACCAAAACCACACATGGGGACACCACATGTCCTTTCACATGGGTTAGTACACAAAGCGTAATGGACAATGCTTACCATATAATGAGATCCCTTGATTTCACTCGGTACATCTTCTACGCTTTTTGTCTTGATCAACTTGAATCCACTCTTGTACTTTGTCTTGACCAACTTTGTACCTTATCTTCTCTCCATAAAGATGATGTCTTGAAGGTAAACATGAATGTTCACACAATCTTCTTCTTCAAGACATGCTTTCAATAGGCTCAACTCACACATTGATCAATCTTTGGATAAGTCCTTGAATAGCACCTTGGTCATTACATAATCCCCTTGAAACCAACTAATGGACTTAAAAAAATGTCTATGGACAAACCCTTCAAATATAGCTCAAGACAACCATTAATCCACAGGTATTGTCATCAATTACCAAAACCAAACATGGAGGCACCATGCTCTTTTACCTGTTCCGGTACTCTACCGGCGGCGGTGACAAAACAAAGGGGAAAATTGAGGTGAAGAGTGACGGGATGATAGAGGATAGGGTTGAGAGAGTTTTATTTTTACCGTGGAAACAGTGCGCCCAACTTCAAATGCACGGTCCCTGCCTCAGTTTTATGTTGCAAAGTTATTTGATTTATCCAGTTTACGGGAAAACAGACACGTGAACTGATCCACGGATAAACGCACGATCCATTGGATGGCTTACAATGTCTGGACCGTTTGGGATGCTTGCGGAGGGTTGGGGTCGATAGTTGGATATGCGCTAAAATGAAAACATGCTAAATATACTATTTCCTCCGTTCGGAAATAATTGTCATCAAAATGGATAAAAGAGATGTATGTAGACGTATTTTGCAAAGACTTGTTTTCCTTTCCTCTATATCGGGATCCCGCCGTTGAGCACCGCCGTTTGAGACGCCCTACTTCCCTTTCCCCCCCTCTGACCCTCTCCCTTGCCAAAACAGCTCCCTCCCAAAACGCCCGCCTGAAAATGGCGGGCCTAGGCGGCGCCGGCGGCTGGGGCGGCTTAGACGACGACGACTGGGGCCTAAGCGAGGAGCAGTACGACAAGCTCGAGCAGGACGCCTACCGCGCGATTGCGGAGCGCAAGGCTTCCTCTTCCGCCGCCTCCACCGCCCCCGCAATCTCGCCGCTCCCCAACCGCGCCCTATCGCCGGCGGCCACGCTCTCTTCGCCGCTCAGGAACGAGCACCCCGCCTCCAGGGTCTCCCTGGAGTCTCGCTTCGGCAAGGTTAGGGTTTCCTCTGTTCTTTTGCTGTTTGGGAGAGGTATTTTTTGGCAGTTTATTGTTTGAATACTAGGGATTGGGTTTGTGCGTGACACGGAAAATTGGAAATCTTTGTTGCTGCAATGTCCAATGAATTTGGAATGACGGGCCATTTCGTGAATGCAGTACTGTTCACCGTGGTAAATCCCCTTCTTTCTTTTACCTAGCTTTCGTGAATGCAGTAGTGATTTCTTGAAAGAAATCGACATGTTCTTGCCCAAGATTCGTGGGTTGGTGATTTGGTCGGAAATGTGCTAGGGGTTTAGCTTAATGCGTTTGTATTGTGGTAAATCTGTCAACGAAATTTTCTTTATTCTTTGTAGTTTATAGATTTAAGAGAAACTAAGCTTTCTGTATGAAGTATGTTGAATTTGGACGTTGGTTTTTACTTTTTAGGCTCACCTTTTTGTGCATATCATAATTTCAGCATTAAGTTTGAAATGTTCAAGGTATTTGATTCCATCTTTTTGGTAAAGAACTACTCCCTCCGTCCCAAAATAAGTGTCTTGAGCTTAGTACAAATTTGTACTAGAGCTAGTACAAAGTTGAGACACTTATTTTGGGACGGAGGGAGTATCTAGCACCTTTGAACCATGACTTGGAAGTTTGGGTGTCCAATGGTCTGGGTTTGGTGGTCTGGAACAAACTTAGATGGCTGTAGTTAACATTTTTTTTTTCAAGCGCATTTCAGTTTCTCTTGCTGACTGTTGCATTGACAATTGAAATTCTGTGGTTTGGAAGCCTTGTTAAGTACAACTTGTCTTGTCAAAAGATGGTAATTTTGGAAATAAGCTGATACAAATTTCTAAACATGAGATAAATCTTGACGCAGCTATAGTCAACATTTTTTGTAAAACTGCATGCGATACTTTGATGGCCTTTGGGGCATGCAATGAACAATTCATTCTTAATTATTCAGAGCGTTGGACATTTTTAGGAGTATCATTTGCTATTCTGTTGTTTTGAGTTGCCCATCATGATAAATCTTGATGCAGATACTGTCAGCATTTTATTTTGAACTGCACACAATACTTTGATAGCCTTTGGGGCATGCAATGAAAAATGCGTTCTTCGTTCTTCAGAGGTTGGATATTTGGAATTGTTCTATTAATGGCCTCATCTGCGATTCCGTTGTTTTGAGTTGATTATGGAGATATACATGTCGATGGAAGCAGAAATTTATCTATTTTGTGTTACATTACCAACTTCCATCTTGCTGACAAAGGAAATCTGTATACTATTCCTTATTATTCCTTCATTATTTTTCAGGCAGAATCACTTTCACCTTCTCGGCTTAGTCAACCAAATGCAGGTATACAACATTCTGTACGTTTTCTGCTTATTCTAACATGAATTGTGGCCCATCTCATTCTTCCTTTCAATTGTCATTGAAGTGAATAATAGTCAGAGCAGCTGGCCTAAGATATCTATACATCTTTTCCTTCATTCTAGTGGTGTGATTGCAGCGAAGTTCCCCTATCACCAGGTACATTTCCCTTATTGCCTAACATATCTATACATCTCATTTTGCCTTTATCATCAGCGGCCAAATCTTTAATCAGTTGCCACAGAATTATATTGTCTACAATATATTTTCTTTTTCCCGTTTCTCTCTCAGAAACTCGTGGATGCATTTCACAAGATCCCGAAAGCTAGCTGGAATGGAAAAGAAAGGTTCCCTTATTCTGTTACTTGACAGTTTCACCAGATGTTTTCTATAGCATAGTAAAGTTTGATGCCTTATGTAAAACACATAACTTATTCTTGGTTCGGTTTGTGAAATTCTTAGGGTGTGGATGTTCCCTCCGACATGTTTATCAATAGCGGAGGAAGTTCTTCATGCCGTACCTGGATTAGTTGTTGAGGTAACAGTTATTTTGTGCACTTTGAATAGCTTTGTTGCTGTTTCTAGTAGTGATCTTCTATTTTGTTTCGTTGAATTTGTTCTATTGCCTTATTGACTGGTTGGCTGAACTGCTCATTCCTACTCAGCGACTGAGTCATTCTCATGATGTTTATTAGCTTCTGGGGTTGAGAATATATAATACAAGTTTTTTAGATGTTGTTGAAGAAAATACTACCCCTGTTGGTTTTACCTGACATCCTAGAATTAGACTTCTAAAGTTTGACTGGAAATGAATTTAAATCTAGGTTGGCTATATACGGAATATACCATTAGATTGGTTATTTTTCTGTAAAGTCATAATTCTACTAGCACATCTTAATGTAAAGTTGTAAAAATTAGTGGCGAAAGTTTGTAAGTAGCATCTCACAGACTTTGAAAAGTCAAAAGTGTCAAGTATTATTGTTTGTGAGGCCATTGGTGTGCGCGGTCCACTATTCTTGTTATTTCAAGGTACTTTGGGAAGCTTGTATTTTCAATTTCTCGGAAAAAAGAATTCCATAGCCACAAGGCCCAAGACATAGGCCTCAGTGTGCTGTCGTCTGTGCAATTGGAGCCTTTTCTACACCTCAAGCAAGAGTAACTAACAGTTTCTGGCCTGTGAATAATAACCTGTTGGTTCCTGGATCCACCAAATTGGTTGTTATTTGGATGTTTTTATTTTATGCTGGTAGTGCATCTAGAGACAATTCATTTTTGACCATAACATGTACATTTACTTACCTGTCAGGTTCAAAAATTGGACCCGTTAGTTCAGCGGGCTTTTGCTGCTGCTTTAGCTGCCAAAGATCTTCGAGGTATCTAAATTTCTAAAGTAAACATTGGAAACACCACATGCTTATGTTTTTTCATCCGCTCGTTGCTAAGATGCTGTTTGAACGGACAAAATTACATGCACTTGAGATATTAAGACCTGTGTTACTTTCTAGTAACCTCTAGTCCAGTTAGATACTCCCTCTGTAAACATATATAAGACGTTTTAGATCACTATTTTAGAGATCTAAAACGTCTCATATTTATTTACAGAGGAAGTACATAATAAACTATGCAGAAGTAAAATATTTCTTCAACAGTATCACATAGGTGTAAATCCAAATGACCTGTGCAAACATTTAATTTTCCCAGATAGGTCTTGCGTTCAGCTGTGAGGCTTCCATTGCCTAATCATTTCTCTATTTTTCTCCTAAAATGCTAATCTAACTGTTCTTTTTATTGTTTTTGTTTTGCGGAAGGTTTGTATGACAAGATTCCAGCGGATGTTGAGTCGAAGCTTATGCCCTTTCAGCGTGACGGGGTCAGGTATATCCAACATCCTTGCTCATAACAGTGGGAAATGTCTTTTCTTAGATTCATACATGTGGTGTAATGTTGAACTTAATCACTTAGTTGTCGTACAGTTATAGGATGTTAAATGTAGCAGATAACCATGGCCCTTAATCAAGACTAGGCAGTGACACATCAATCATATACTAGGCCTAATAGATTAAGCAAGAAATTGATCCTGAAATCAGTGGCTGTGCCAGGTATTCAATCATGGGTAGTCAATTGAATCTTGTGTAGTCAGGAGCATACATTTGTAGGACTTTTTTGCATGATGTCTATTTGTTGTAGGACGTTTCTTGCAAAAAGTTGTGTAGTCAATGGACTACACAGCTCATGTGTGGCTTCGCCACTGCCTGAAATCCTGGCTGCTTTCGTCCGTCCCCAGTCTACGTACGTCTTACCTCCCTGTGTACCACTGACACCTTCATGGTTCCTGGTCATGCCATCACAGTATGGTGCTGAGGGTACCCGTCAACATCTATTACTTGGGTTGTAACATTATTAGGTTGTAAAATGGGATGTAAGTTGCTTATTTGGTCCCCAAGAACTCAGCACATTTGGATTTGGCTGAAAAGAACTAAAGGTCCGTGGTACCTTCCCATAGTTGAACGTTGTACCCTTTCTTTCTCGTTATTGTAGGTTCGCTTTGCAACATGGGGGCAGAGTGCTGATAGCAGATGAAATGGGTCTTGGAAAGACATTGCAGGTAATTTATACATTCTCTGTGGACCATCATCACTTCTTTTTCTACAACACGCAGGAGACCTCCGTA